ATTTGTGTTGCAGTGATACCATTTTCAGGAGACTGACAAGTAGATGTCCTGTTTGTGAATCCTGAACCAGTTTCCAGTCTCCTTGTGTGTGTCCCTTTCCTTTCTTCAATAGAAAGGTTACCCAAGCTTGGTGTGAAACTGCTCCCAGGTGACCCTAGCATGGTTAGATACAGGGCATTCAGTGCCAGCTGAAGGATACGCCTCATGAACTGCCACGGTCCAGCTGTGTCATGTACAATCCCCCACCCTCTGCCAAAAGAGGAGGAGCACCCTCAGCAATTCAAGACTAGTTTGCTTCCCTGAGAGGGTCAGCAGATCACCACACTGGGCTTTTGTTAAGCAGCACCAACTCAGGGCAGGTAGCAGCAGCCAGAGGCTACCCTGCTGACCATGACTTGGTAGCCACTCCTCTCTAGGCATTTTTTTGCAACTCTCAGCCACGGGCTCAGGTAGCCCCTGACCACCTGGAAGGGCAGGCACCAGGCCAAATATTTTCCTCAGCCAAGTATTTAATAATTTAATCCACCGCCCACATAAGGGGTGTAGCACAAAAGCCTGCAGCTTGGCTGATGGGGGACAACACTTGAGGAGCTAACACAGGATGCAAAAGTGCTGGGTTAGGGACGAGGCAGGAGGTCCCACGTGTGGGAGCAGAAATAGCAAGGGAAGGTGCTGAGGAGGTGGGAGCAGAGCTGCTGGTCTCCCTGCGCTCTCACCTGAGGAAACCAGAGCAAATTTGCCAACCTGCTGTAAGCACTGGAGGTGTAACCGTCTCCCACCTCCCTGCTCCTCCATCCCTGCCCCGTTGGATGTTTAGGTGTAGATAAAGCTGCCTCGTGAGTATCTATACAAGAGCTTACACCACCGTAATCAACAATAAAAAAACCTCCCAACCAGAATACACATCCTTTGATTGCTACAAGTTATAACAACTTCTGTTTGTGCAGCACATCCTCCACCTAAAATAGAGCGAGTTCTCCCTTTGCCGTCTCTAGGACGGTAAAACCCCCGTTTTTCTGCTCTTGGGAAGAGGCTTTGTCCCGGTTCGGGCACCAGGGGGACCCAGCCACTCGCTCTCGCTTCCAGCTGTCCCCGGGAGCCCATCCCCGAGGCGTTTGGGCATCCCGGCTCCCGGGGTAAAACACATGTCTTCCCTGGCTATGGCCTCGCATGACACGGCATGGTTATGAAGTTGCAGCAACTCTTAACTACACACAGTTGTTTCCCACTTGTGCTATTTTAAATAAAGGGCTTTTTTTTAAAAAAAAATGGAATGTTCTCATAATGAAGATGGGGGAAAAAAATAACCAAAGTAATCACAGAAGTTTAGCAATTGCTACCTACATCCCATTAAAGAGTTCTATATGTAAGAAAAATTTAGGACCGAAGAGAGTTAACTTTACCAGTTTTTGCTTGTTCATTAAAGTATGACTGTGCAGAACGTGTGCCCAGCACCACATTACTTACCATTATGTTATGGCTGGGGAAGGAGAAGCGAAGGGAAATAAAACATGGCCAATCTGACAGCTCAAACCTTGCTCTTCACTATCGGGAACACCATCAAGTGGACTCTAATCTCAGAAAACAGATTTGGTCATTACCCACAGCCCCATTTCCCTTTGCCAAACGCTAGTGGTGTCTATAATCACATTTTCCTTGCAGAAATATTTCCTCTGATGTCCAAAGATGCTGCCAAGAGCTCAAATAAAAACAGTTCTTCTGAAATATCCTTCCATTCTGGTAACCCAAGATACCACACTCACTCACAGCTAAGAGTGCACTTTTTGGGTTTAGGGGTCGTGATGTTTAGTTTGTTGCTGGTTCGGGTGCCTTTTTTTTTTTCTTCCATGCTTTTTTTCTTTTTTTTTTTTTTGTTAAACACCTTCATTCCTATATACACTGTATGGAAAAACTTCTCAGGGTGGCAACAGCAATTAATCAGGCTCCAAAATTCTAGTTTCCTTAGGGCCGCCACCATGCCCTCTGCTATAATGCAGTCCTTATTAATAGCTTTTTAAAGCTTGCTTACATATGCTAATGTAAACAAAAGACACTCACAACCTAAGTGACTTGCCTTAAAATACTTCTGATCTTTTTTTTTACTTGGCTTTTTGTTTGACCCTTGCCTTCTTTAGGTAGTTAAATACCACCTCACAACCCAATACAATAATCAGGTATTAAGCTTTCTGTTTATGAGCAGGAGTCAAATCTCTGCATTTTAGTTATTCTGGATGCATCTTTTACTTAAAAGCAAAAATAAAATTGAACCACACCAGCCCTTGAAATGAGCCCAGGAGAGGAACTGGTTCCACCCTGACAAACCACACCGACACACAGACAGGCCCACAAGGAGCACTGGATCCACACGGTGAATATTCGGAGATGAATTGTACTTCCCATCCCCAACTGCATTTGAAATAGAATGGGTTTCCGGTTTCGACACTGCCCTGAAGCATTGGGTCAGCTGTGTATGATACTGGCAAGTTGTTAGTCCATCTGGGTATTTTACCCCCCCCCCCCTCCGATGTGAAGAACACCCTGCAAACTTTCAGCTGTGTGAAGATGCTGGTGCTGGGCTACAGGTTAAATGAGCTGGTCACCTTTCCCAGCATTTATCACCATGTTATACACAAAGCAGTTGTAGTTAAGTTCTCCTGAACAACCCACAAACTATTACCAATAGAAGTTTAAACTTGAGCTGCACATTTAGGAAGAGGCAAAAAAAACCACCCCATAAATCCCTAGAGTCCAACAACTTAAAACTGGAAGAGAGACAGGGAAATCAACTCCTAGTTCAAGCACAAAGTTACAAACTTCTCATCTTCAGAGATAAAAATATGCCATTTTGCAACACACATCCACGACAGAAAGATAGAAGGGATGCATCAACAATTGTCTTTCCCGAGGCAAACACATTGTGTATTCCTTCTCTTCACACTTCACGTTCCTCCCCAAAGCAGACACCTAGTGCTTAATTTTGCTTGGTGTGTCCCATATTCCTCATACCCACCCTCCACACGTGTTTAGTCTTCGTCTAATGTGTCAGTCTCTTCCTGTCCTGCTTTTATTCAATTCATTCTTTGCTCCCTGTCCTCCTAAGGACTTCAGTCTATCCCCAATGGGCTGGTGATTTGCATCTCATCTGCCCATTCCACTCTCAGAGCCAACTCTTAGTACCTCGTCCATCTGGGAACTATGGGCACTTTTTTTTTCCTCATTTCAGGAAAGGGATAAACATGCTGTATATTCACTCAACTTCAAAGCGATGGGGAAAAGCTTGATGGAACTGAGTAAGTGGTAGCAAAAGTCAACAGAGTGAATTCTCTGGAACTGGTTTTGTCTGGTAGGACAGAGGACCTTGAACCTGCTTCTGTCAGCTGCTGTCCACCCCCACCAGGCAGGGTCAGGCAACTGGGATTCAGTAGATGCTCTGAAGTGAACACAGACCTTGCAGCAGTCTAATACCAGAAATTATTTACATCCAAGCTTTACATCCACAGAATAGCTAAGTGAGTATTGTATGTGAAAGCTGACTATCGGAGACTGTGGATCCATACCCTTCCCCCCAGAGAAAAAAGCAGGTGAGATCCAAATCCAACTAAGTCCCATGAATTTCTTCAGTCTTCACTGCTGAGTACTCGTTAATTCTCAGTATGTATTTGCATGTGCATGCAGCTATCTGCAGGCCTGCAGACAAGATACACACACTGGGCATCCACTAGACATCCAGGGGTTTGAGATTTTGAGTTTCCTCTGGTCACGTAGCTGCCTCCCCTCTTTTTCAAAGCATTCAGCAGGCAGAAGAATGGTACTTTCCAGTCCGATTATACTTACCAATGTGACTTAAGAGATGTGTGATCTTTCCACTCCCGACCTTAAAGTGGTCAGCACTGCCAGATGTTTTACATAAGATTTAGGCTGCCAGCGAGCTTCCTCTCTGATTTGCAAGCATCTTTCTTTTGAGAAACACCCAAGAGTGACTTCATTTCCCTGCTGCACTGCTTGACTTTACTACACAAAACGATCCCCCTGCATATTCTGCTCAGCAATGTGGTAATTAAAAAAAACATCAGGTCTACCCAGGATGGTTCCAAGTGCTAGAAGGCTTCTTCCTTGTTGAATGTAAAACAAAGATGGGGAAGAGAATATTTCAGGAGGACATGTAAGAAGTTATACAGTGCCAATGCATGGAAAAATCCTCAAAACTCTTTGGGATCAGCTCAGTGCCGCTGCAGCCTAACACACTGGAAAGAGCAGAACTGAGCACCACAGGTACCCAAGTGCCAATAAGGCTGGCAGACTCACCTAGAGATCCAGGTAACTCTTCCTGGACTGGTACAAGATGGTCAAGCACATGCAGGGGGGCTTCACAGGAGTTAGAGCAATGGCAGAAGCACAGTCAGCCAGATGCTTCCTTGATTACCGCACAGTCAAGCTCATCAAACCTTATGAAGCTCATCAAAAAACTTAGGGAAATTGTGTGGCCTCTCATATGGGTTGGCATCTGTAGACTCCACCATTCTTCTGCCACCTTCAAAGGGCTCATAACTCACTGCAAGTCATATAAAACTGAACAGCTCCCATCAAACCTTACAAATCTTGTTTGAAGAGGACTTCAGTTTTGCACCTCACGTACCTGTCAGAAAGTGGTGAAAAAACTAGAGGTGCCTCTAACGTCCATCATCAGTCTCCAGTCAGCCTAAGCGTGGTGCTTGTTTTGAGGGAGAAAATCATCAGGAAAAACGATCACCACACCCAGGTAACTGTAGGCAATCTAAAAAAACAGCAGACCCTTCTCCAGACCAGAAACAGCTCTGACTTTAAAAAAAAAAAACAACAAAAACCCCACAAACAAAACCAAAACCCCCCCAAAACCCCACAACAAAACAAGAAAACCCCCAAAACCCACCAAAAATCCATATGCCCCCTTTGTCAGAGGTCATTTATAAATTAGCTGCTAAAAGCAGTTTTAAAGTTACATAAATTACAAATAACCACAGTTTCAAGAACCTTTATACATCATCTTTTTTAATTAGATTAGCTTTACAAGCAACTTGAGAGCTCTCTCATAATGAACACTGCTTTTCAAATTACACAACTTTATAGGCAACCTGTAAATGAATCCTGAATTTCTTTGCCTGCTATAGATAAAGGTCTCATATTTTACAGCTGGCTAACATCATGAATAAAAATAGCATTATGAAGCTTTATCTTTAACCAGGACTAGACACGTACAGATCATAAGACAGTTTAAAAAATAGTTTTAAAACAACGACCTGCTTGGTGATGCTCAAGACTGAATATTCAACCGACATGAAATGAACAGTTTCTAAAGGACATGGAAGAAATGGCTGACCTGATTTGTTGACCCTATTGTAATGACTTACATGGAGTGAAAAAATTAAGCACTTTTTAAAACCTGTCTGGCAAGCACAAACCTACAGTGTGATTAGAATTTGATATGCCGTGTAACTGCAGAAGTTTGAATTACAGAGGGACTGAAATGAGTTTAAAGGCTTATGCTTACATTTCTAAAACAAAACCAACCAAACCTCTGTTAAAGTAGAACTAAAGAAGATGAAGTGGAAGAGGTGGCTTTTTTGCTTGTTTCACTGGTAGCCTAAATGCACTGCAGACCAGACAGTAATGAAGATTTGCACTCCTTGGCCAGGTTGGCAGAGGCACTTACAGTAAAGGTATCCTGTCTGTTTTTCTGGGAAGAAAAGAGGAAAGAGGAAGAGAACTGTAAAGGGCAAGAACTTGCTAAAAAAAGGAAAAGCGAAATCAAAACAAAACTGGGATTTCTGTTGGTTCTCCTAAATGATATACCGATACTGAATTTTTTCCCCTTTCTGTCAGTTTGTTACTAAACAATTAGCTTTTTCATGTTTTACATGAACAATAGTAATCTTTTTAATAAAAAATTACTGAGCTTTCCATAGAAAAGGTCTCTAATTGAATACAAACTATACAGATGCTAAAATTGTCACAAGTTGTAATATATACAGAAATATTTCTGTACACTCACATTGTTTTGGCTAAGTAAGGAAATAAGGGACAGATAGAAAACTGCAGTGGGTAAGCTGATCAACCCCCAAACTCCTGTAAATATGAATGCTGTCTTTTATAGGTTTGTTTTTGTTTTCTCAAGCTTTTAAAGCTCAGGAAAAAAAAAAAAAAAAAAAAAGAAAAAGGAGGAAAAAAAATAAATCAGTGTCCAAACCATCCATTTCTTAAAAATAAGAATATCAAAGTTTCTGCACATTTCACTTTTATTCTGTGATGTCCCATTTCCTTGACAAAATGAAAACAATGTCAAAGAAAATAAAAGTTTTCTTACTAAATATATACCTCAGTATTGATCAAAGGGCAGTGCCTTTTTGGGGAAATCCTTCAGCACAGTGAAAACCTAAAGATGTATTGCACAAGGAGCCTACAGTGATGCACTTCAGCTTCAGTGTGCTGACCATCTCCTTGATACTATATAATAGATCAAGGTGTCAATTTACAGACTGCTTGGGACACCAACATTTGAAAAGGAAATGAAAAAAAAAAAATAATGTGAATTTTAGATATTCTATTAACTTATATACAAAGGAAAGGGGGGTGGCAAGTATTCTTTAGAAAAGGGAGAAAGCTCAAAATTTCCCGTCAAGTACATAAGGAGGTTCTGGGTACCTCTAATAGCCTAGGAAAGCCCTTGTATATTTTTGTAACTTGATGGTATTTACCAGGTCCCCAAAGCCAATGACAGCAACCGATAGTGTCAAGTTCACTTAGTGCCAGTCACTTAAACAAACAAACCAAAAAAAAAAACCCAAAAACCAAACCAAAAATAAACAAAACAGAGACAGAAACTTCCATACAAAACCACAAACTGAATGTTACTAATAGCGAGATACTGATTTGCTTCTGTTAATAAGGTTCAAGAGGACATAGTCAAAAAAACAATACAGCAGCAATCTTTAAAAGTTAAGATTAGTGTGAGATATGATATAAAACAATCAGGTTCTTAGCTGGTAATTAAAGTGCTCCTTTTCTGACTTAAGGTGTAAAGAAAATTAAAGTGATTATCAGTTACTGGCAACCCTTACATTAAATTAGGTCTTTCATGGCAGAGGAGAACAGTATCAACAGTTTTACAAAAATAGATCCATGTTATTTTGGAGAATACTGAAAATTTTTTTCTTTTTTTTTCAGTTTTTCTTCTTTTTTTTAAGACTCAATTTTGATAAACTGTACCTGGTCATACAAAAATTACCCAAAATTCAAACTTTTACCATATAAAAAAAGGAGAGATGAATTGGATTCAGCTGGATGACAGGTCTGGCAAAATATAAGGATGAACAAATTCTATGTAGGGCACTTATTTATGTCCAGATGCATATGCTGTTTCTTACTGATTGCTTATCTTCTTCACATAAGCAGTCACAGGCCTGGAGTCACAATCACATAGTACAATGCTTCAGCAGTCAAAGAATCTTCTATTTGATGCAACATTGAAACACTGTTTGCTTCTTTATTAAAATGTTGTTTTGTTGTTGATTTTCCTTTATCTTGTTATTCACATTCAAAAGTTAATAGATAGCATCAAGATTTATCAGGGAGAATAGCAAGGGGAGTTGCTAAATCAAAGGCTTATAAAACGTCTTTCCCAACTGAGTCAGAAGGTTTATTAAGTTCAACCCTCACACCTTTTTCACCTGCAGAAATAGGAAAAGGAAATTGGTATTATTTTTCAGCATTTATCAAAGTACAGTCTACAGAATTGCTACTTCACTATCCAGATTACTTTTAAGACAATACTTTGAAAATTGTCTAGTACATATGATCTAGCAAGATACACTATTTCTGTATATATGCTCTGTATCCTGTGCTCTGTAAAGTTAATGAGCTGTGGTTACTCATCATCTCTGAAAGCTGGCATTTATTTGGCTGCCCTAAGTAGAAAACTGGATACTTCACATCACATGTGCAGTTTTGAAATTCATCATTTCAGCCTTTACAAGCAAAGGTAAGCTCTAAGAACAGTCAAGTGAGAACTTGAGGACATTGTCCATTTTTCTGGATCAAAATATCCAGAGTTTCTGGATGTTTACCTTTGTAAAGAATTTCTGAGGGATTTTTAAAATGCAATGTTCCATTTGACTTGCTGCTAAAAAATAAACAAAACAAAACCTATACCTTTTCTGTCCTTTACTCTGAAAACTGACCCTCAGATACCCCCAAAAAGCTTAACTTTCAAAACGTTAACAGACACGGTGTCTCATATTCAAGAAATATTCACACATACTCTGCATGGCTTCCGTTAGAATTACACTAAGCCAAGAATGAAGAGTTTTCTACTTTATGGTATTTTATTATATAATTGTATATTATAGTATCAATGGAAAATAAAGTGCATCTTGCACAATTCTTGCTGCAGATAAAGAGCAAAGAATGCGATTTTGATGGGTAAGTAAACTGGAATCACAATAATATGAAAACATAAATCAATTACAGGGCAAAGTGATACCAAAATTTAAACAACGCCTCCAACCCAGCCTTCCCTCCTTAAGCGCCTGCAGATCAGGGGGACCCCGGGAAGGGGGGGGCAGTGGGGGGGCAGCGGGGGGGCAGCACCTCCCCTGCAGACACAAGCCCAGCTGGATGGCTTCCCTGTGCTCTCTCTGAACCAGCAGCAGCCAAAACTGCTGGAGACGACCACAACAGCTCTGATCCGGCCAGGCCGGCCCCAGGAGCTGCGCCGTCATGTGCCTGTGACGCCAAGCCCGCCTTACGGACAGACAGACAGACAGGCTTCCTGCAGAGACCAGGCGGGCGTCATCCGGCATTCCTGACCGCCTGGGAAGTCACCCAGCAGTGGGACAGGACAGCCTGCCCAGCCGGGGCTGAGGGACTCCCCACACTTTCTTCAGGAGCCAGGCAAGAGCTGCGTCGCGCTTCCCGCTCCCCAAACGCACAGACTCACGGCTGCACCAAGGGGGGCTGAACTCAGCTGCAGCTCTCACATAGCTCTGGGGCTTCTCAGGAGCTCCAGGTGCCTACCGGTGAGGAATCTCACTTGGAAATGATAGCCCATCCCTTCAGCATCATCGGTTTCAGAGCTCTTGATGAAACCGTGGAGAAAATGGCCCAGTGCACATGTGCACCTGCAGTAATACCTGACTTTGGTTTATTTTTAAACTACTGTAACGAACACAAATTCGTGATGGCAATTACAAGCATGACAGAAGTCCTAGACCATTTCTCCTTATAATACTAATTTGAACAGGAAAATTAGATCAACTTCCTCTTGAGGGAGAAGCCAGAAAAGGAAAACAGATGCTAGATATGTGGAACTGGAAGTGGAGGAAGTAGCTCCATGCTTTGATTCCAGATTTTAATTTTAGGCTTTTGTTTTTCTGATAGAGAGATTTTCTAGTCCAGTTAAGTTGCAGTCACTTGTGGAATCACTATATCTGATCAAATCAATTTCCAGGGCTCTCAGTTCTGCAGTGCCTCACGGTCTCTGCTCTATTTACCCTCCACACCTACTAGGGAGAGAAGCTGCACCCCCCATATAAAAATATTGAGCGGCCTCAGGTCTCAGGGAGGAAGCGTGAGCCGGACAAGGCACTGACCTGGATTTCCCAAGTCACTGCCCAGCAGCTCAACCACTGGGTCACCTTCCCTGTCAAACCTGGCTCTCTGAGTTATGCTGTTTTTTTCTCCCCATTTTTGTGCACAGCGTGTGCCAAGGAGGTGAGGTTGGACTACTTAGTTAGACTTCAAAAAAAACCCAAAAGCACAACACAGAAGGTATTAACAAGAGATTACCTGTTAGATATTTTACTTTAGCTCGTGCTCTTTCATCTGCATCAAAATACCACACTGTTATTGCGTACCTAGGGAAACGGATGGAAAAAGAACTCCTGAACTATAAACAACAAAAACAGCGAAGCACTTGACATAAAACACAACCTAAACAAGATGGTACTTCTGCAGTCTGACAGAAAAAAAACATTTCATCAAGGACAAAGCAAGCAGGTTTGTTTTGTTCTTTTTCCTATCAGTAGGCATTGTCTGAACAGTCACTGAAAGGTGACACTGATGCTGTAAGTTTACACTTATTTTTCCTGATGAGTTGCTATTACAGTTCTTGCCCAGAACCTGTAATAGTCTCTGTCCATATCACCTTGCTCTCATCTTTTACTTGGTCATTCAAGTCCATCACTGCCACACTGCAAGAATCTCTTTTTTTTGGATGTTTGCCATAAGGGAAAATTAACTACCTCTTCTTACACAGCTCCTCCAGTTTTCCACTGCCAGTAGAGGACTTAAATATGAAATGCCAGCTATTGAGAAAAGACATTAAGGAGCTTTAGTAAATGGCACTTCACCCTCTGACTCTGCTTGGAGCACAAAGGGGGAGGGGAGAGCGGTACAGCCTCCCAAAAGGCTGCAAGAGGACATGCCTATGGCAGTTTCAAGTTACTTCTTGCAAAGGTACTTGTGTTATCTCTCAGCTCCAGCCAATGTTCAGTGCTCTGGCAATCCAAACGTGTTGCGACATGGGAACAGGAAGTTTGGATCAAGGGCTCCAATAATTTACCTACTGACGCTACTTGGAAACGCTACTCAAGATGTGGGGACAGCGAATGCAGGTACCTTTAGCATCATCCACTGCCCTACAGCGAGGGACAAAGGAGCTATCAAGTTCCTTCTGTGACTCAGATTGGGAGCAACTCCTCTAATACTCCAGAGAAAGAAAAGATCTGTGTATCAATGGTCATTTCTTCCCCACAGCCCTCTCCCAATTCCCAAACTAAACTAAGACACCCCTAGAATAAAGAAAGGATAGTGAACATGACTGTCTTCTAACAACTCCCTCTGCCTCATCAAAAAGAGGAGGTAAGTACCCAGTCACTCTTTCCCTAACACAGTAAGGTGCTAAGGACAAAGCGAAGGGAAAAAAATAATCCCTTCTTGTCATAGTTTAACTGGAACTCTACACGGGAAAATCTAGGATCAGGTCATAATTCATAGTGTCACTCATTTCTCAAGAGAATTCACTCATTTTTTTAATTAAAAAAGGCATCAGGCAATATAGAGTCCATTAGTCCTACCTTGTAGCAAATGCTGGCTGTACTTCATGAGGGTTGCGGCGATCAGACCAGAAGAATAGCAGTCTATCAAATTTGGGTTCAATATCAGCAAATTGGGCTTTACCTTCTGGAAATATTCGAAGGATGCCTCCACTTACCTACAAATTAAATATTTAAAACCAGTGCTTGAAAACAATGTCTCACTGTATTTAAAAGTACTGAATATCACATCTGGAAATATTTCAGCTACTTGGAACTGAAATAAAAGCTTATATCAGATGCTACAGAAATTATGAATCTACGTCTTTTCTGTTGATATATTTCATTTAACAAAACATTCTACACATTTTTCAGCAATTACTCAGTGAATGCTAGCAAACATGAAGCCTCATTCATGTTCAAGTAAAAAACTGTGGGTTTAGATTTGTTGTTTTTTAGTTGCTTTACCTACTTGCAAAAAATGGACAAGACTAATAGGCAGCTAAAACCGTGCCAATACAGATGAGAGAAACATTATATTCACATCCGAATTTCACCCTTTCCCATTAAAGATACTGTTTCTTTTAGCAGTAGCACAGGTTTATGTCCTATTTCTGTAATTAAGATGAGGAAAGACTAAGAAACTTCAAACTAAAACCTGAGTCTGTATTATTCCTGGTCAATTTAGATCTCTTCCAAGCTTTGAAAAAACAGTTGGACCTATCTATGCATGTCTAGAACTCAGCACAAGTAGGTGTGGTTAATGATTTTTAAGTCACATTAACTTCTCCTTACTGATGGTACTCATGTTGTTAAATCTAACTATAGATGGCCACCGTATGCCTTCATGGGAATGTCGCAACAATGCAAGTACTAACAAGGTAAATTGATAGAAATCACTCATTTTTAATTGTGATCTAAATCAGTAAACAAGGAGTGACAAAGAAAGTTTGAACTTCTTTCTTTGCTAACCAATATACTTGGTAATATATTAATTTGTAATTAAAAATAGATTTTTCAGGACATTTAATAAACCTTTGTTTGTAAGTTAAATATCCAGCCAGTAAATTTTTCTCAGTTATTGTGAAAATGCAATTGCCTTGACTTCTACACTCTTGTATTCAATCTATGATATATACAGTCTATGCTTTTTTTTTTTTCCAGGAGAGAAACAGTAAATCAACCAAAATGCCCCAAACCTGCATTGTAAGGTGTTCTGAACAACCAGTGCACTTACATGAGAAGATGCCATCATGGCAAAAAAAAGCTAATTATTTATTCTTTAACTGAAAGATCAAACGTGACATTTCAAGAAGCCAGTCAGAAATAGAAAACTTCAAGTGCATCCATTTCTGACTCAGCTTTCTGATCTACCAGTTTCATGCCTTTATGTTATCAGTCTCATTGTCTCATCCAGCTCTTATAAAAAATGGATAGCACTCAAGAAAAAGCAGGAAAAAAAAAAAAAGGAAAAAGCTCCCAGCTGCAACCTGTGTTATCCATACCTGATGCATCCAATTCACAGAAATTGAGTGCTTACATGTTCTTTCACATGCTACTTTCTAAGTATGATAGAATTATCAGTAGTTTTATCTTTTTTTCATGTACAATGAGAAGAAACTTCTCCCTATCTAACTGCACGGCAATCAAGGAACAAAGATACCTTTGCATTATTCTCTCATGCTTTCAATACAGCAAGTTACCTACATCCATTCTTCAAATCTACTAATAATCCTTATTAAAGTTACTTTATCAGTCACTACATCTACAGAAAGTTGCGAGTTATTTGTAGTAAATTCTTAGATCACTTGAACTGCGTTATAAATCCTTATCCATTCTACACGCTGTATCTACAATGATACAAAGACTTGTGCTGCTCTGAACTGTAGTAATACAACAATAGCCATAACACTTGGCTTATTTGAAACTGCTCCCAAGCTACGGTATCCCTCTTTTTATAAGCATACTCAATTAAGTCATCTAGTTGCACAAACAGTAAACTGAAGATTCAACATGAATATAAGAAGAAAAACTCAAAATGATCAGTTGCATAATTAGATATTCATGAAACTTGGATGCTAGCAGATACTTATAGGTATAATTAAGAAACATACATGAAAAACACGTAACTTTCATTCAGTCTCAATGTCAAAGAGGTTCTGCTGGCATCATTTACTACCTTGAAAATAAATGCCCCATCTCTATCTGCTCTCACTAACTGCAGTATCAGTGGGGCAAAGGATAAACACAGTTCATGTACAAACACAACCAAGGCACAGAAATAAGGACATGAACAATGACTTGTAGCAAAGGTGCACTAGCAAGTATATGTAAGGAAAAAAAGGCTATAGAAAGAAGTTATTGCATACCTTGGCATCCCAGTCTTTATTAAGATAATATATACACGTAACACATCTTCCGTCTCCATTTGGATTATCAACATGGCGCACATATCCTGTCCCATTGCCTGGATAACAAGCCACCATAGCCTAGAGTCAAAGAATCAAACAGGATAGTTAATTGTATCTGTGTTTGGGGAAAACGTCTACATTTTATCTGTATTAATTCTTAAGTAATTCATACATAAGCAACAGAAAAATTAAGTTAGAAATAATGGGAAAAGAGGTTTTTTTAATCTGTGTTTTCTTTCTAGTTAAAACCTGGTTTTGAACATAAACAGATGTCCGCCACAATGGCATGAAACACATGGAGAGGAACACTGTTAATTAAGGTATGGAAGGTGGGGCTGCTCCCGTGTTGTGACTAATTCTTCAGACTTCCCTCCCGTGAATGAAATACAAGAGAGGAAAAATGTCGTGTATAACTCGCGTGTGCTCCCCTTGTGATAACAATACTGTTTTTTCCAGACTCAAGTTCACAGACAGCTTTTTTGTCTTTTTGTCCCCCCTCCCCCCTGTGTTTCCAACGCAAACAATTCCTCTTCAAAATGCAGTGTCAAACTTTATTTTGAGGAGACTTTTTAGACAAGATCATTAGCCCATCTAACTCAGTCACTCCAAGTGCATTCTTGGGCTTGTGTTTTGTCCTGTACATAGGAGGTCTTTGAACCTTTGTTGAAACAAGCCTACATGTGTAACAAAAACATCCTTTTTAGTCAAGAAGTGAGAAATCGAAAACAGACACGGAACAGCAATCTGCAATAACCTTCTGACATCAAACGATTCCCAGTACAGTAGTGTATTTTACTTTTCATGCTGCACTTAGTTCAGCTGACTTGAAAGACCACCAGACAGTGGTTTGGGTTTTGAGTCCACAGGCACGCGGATGTGCATGTGAAACGAACTGGCCATCTTGCTAGCCAAGGACGGTCTGATTAGCTTGATTAGCTATCAGTTTGCATGGCCAGTTTGTTGTACAGCACATCCCCACATATACGCATTTGCTGGAAACAGTAATGATTTCAGGGTTTCAAAAGAAATCAGAACAAAGTTTTCCAGGCCAAGCCACCCACTGCCACCCCAGCACTCAGATGTCTGCAGTGACAATATACAGCAAAACATATATCGTATATATGCTTCTGCAAAGAGTTGTAACATGAATTTAAAAGAAAAGCAAAACAATTAGTTTCTACCAACTACCCACTACATTACTAACCTCAACCCTTGCTGTTTAAAAAACAAACCAAAACTTTTAAACACAATCAATCCTGTCTAGGTTTAGGTTTGTTATGTTAGAATTTCACCTCATTTACATAAAATATAAAAAAGTTTTCCAAATAAAGTGTTTACTGTGAAAATGTAACCCATCAGATTAGAAGTATGTCAAATCAACTTTTTCAGTGTGTTTTCTGCTTTACGCTGATGATTTTAACTTTTCCTCCCCTTTTTTTAAATGCTAACAAATAAAGCTTTCCACAGTTTGCCCTGTTTGCAAGAAAATGCTTTAAGCAGGCTGAGAAATAAAATACTTGCAGTTCAATCAGTAAGATATGTGTATCACATATAAGCAGATGGACTTTGCTATAGCAGCAAACATTTTAAATCTTTATTTCTATACATACTCTACTATCAGAAGCAGCAATTTTTGGTAGCTCCTTCTAGGCAGAAATGAGAATACAGTATTTGCCAAATAGCACTGTGACTAGAAAAAAACCCTAAAAATTAAGACAAATGTCACTCACACAAGATGTAAGTGACCATGCTGCATGAAAAGTACTCAAAACTACAAAATTAAAATACACTTGTAATTTTGAGATTAGGCACTTCAGCCTCTCAATCTGTCTATTGTAATCACACTGTAGTCATCATTACAGGTCTCAAGTTCTGTAAACATATTACACGTACCAAGTAATGTGACAATATTTGGCAAAGTCATTACTTATCAGTTTTGCTGCAGGAAGATAAACCCACAAAAATCAAAACAGTGAGTTAAAGATACCAAATAATGCAATAAGGGTTCTGTAATTTCCTTTCTTACAGAGAAAAAAGGAACAAAACAAAAGCAAAGCTGGGCTGGAAGAGGAAGATATTTGGTTCCCACTGAAAACCAACCCTCTTGAAAAAAGGCCCATGTACCACTTAAACCCTATCAAGTTCTCACAGAGCATGAACAGTGCTAAGAGAAATCCAGATCCAATCCTTTATCATTCCTAAAAACAGGAAAATTATAATTTAAGTGGTTTTGCTGAGAAGTACCACGTAAGTTAAACCCCAAAGTTAGTTGTTGCTCAACATCTACATGAAACATTTACTAAAGCTCATTCAGTATGAAGAAAATGTTGAGACTGAGTAGCTAGAGCAATGCCAATTCTCGCTAAAATGATTCCAGGATAGACTTGGGTATGAAAAGGTCTTCATGTATGTAAATCACCAAAATACCTTTCACTGAGCTAAAAAACCTAGCATTGAGAGTTTAGGACAGTTCCCAGGTCTCTTTGGCCAATACAGAGTTTTTTTTCAAGGGCATACTTGGTTGCCATCTGTTCCTCAAAAAGATAATTTTGCAGTTAGAGAAGCATAAATTTGCATCCTATTGCCATAGTTTCCTTTATAAGGTGCTGAAGTGGGTACTTGTTCTCTTTGCTGAAGGGAAATCAAGAAAAGAATCTTTAACATCAATGTTGCTGAATAAAAAGAGGACCAGTAACACTTTCTGGAAAGTCTGGGGAAATGCCAGTTGTCACCAATTTAATATAAAGAGCAGCCATATTCAAATTCCATGTGAGAAGCGTTTCGAACAATCATTTGAGTCTAAAATACTGCCAATGTACAAAAAAGCCCCTGTTTTTTTACTTCAGTCTCAGAAAGCTTCTGCTATCATTAACTGCAAGAGACGAGAAACAGTTTCGCTGCGATAACTTATCTAATATGTATTTGTTATAACAGTAAGAATGACTCAGCCTTTAGCGGCAAACTGGAAAGCAAACAAATTCACCCATCAGCCCGTGTAGCATAATATACATTGCTTTTGCCAGTTAGAGTGGCAATTCTCTCTCCCCAATTTAACTATGATAAGGAAAGTCACAAAATGTAACAATTTACAGGGCATGGGAAATATATTGATTTGTGAAACAATACAAGGCTAGTTCGTGTTAAACTGTCATGCACTGCAAGATTACTCACATGGAAAGGACAAAACAGTGACCCACATATATAATGAAGTCACATAGTTTTGTTGTTTTACCATTTTACACTATACATAAGCTAACAAAATATATGTATGTCAGGCAAAGAGAAAATGTTGGGGTTGCAGCTTTTTTTTAAAAACAAAACAAAACGAAAAACTGTTAAGCACAGCCAAAAAAGCCAGACATTTGAGACCAGAATGTCCAAAATTCCTTAGCAGTTTAGGCTACGAACAATAAGGTTGTTCGCTCTCCAAAATAGTGAGCTGCTTGTCTCACAAAAAGTAACAGATGAATTCAACTCCAGCTATTTCTCGCACTTTCTTAACAGAAAATGAGGTCTCCCTCTTTGTACTTTTTGGGCATTACAACTTTTAATCATTCAGTAATCTTCATTTCTGCAAATAGTATCTTTAAATCACACACTGGATTTGTTCACTCACTGGATTCCTTTGCAAACGCTTTTAATATTAACCTTCTTTAACCCAGGAGTGTTCTCTGGCAGCCTGAGCACTCCTGCCGAGCACATGAGCGCTGTCCTAAGATACCCTCTGGAATTCATGAGTAATGGAGAAAGCATGAAAGCGCCCCCCCTCTCTGCAATCCGCCCAACTTGTGTCTATCAAACTCAAGCACTCACACACTTAAAGAAGCTGCTGATCCCTCATTCACACACAGACGTTCTCCTTGCAAATGTTTACCTCTGGAAAACTAACTTTAGGCTATCAGGCCGAATGAACAATAATCAGTTGTTAACAGAAGAATTAATTGAAATTACAGATTATTTATTTTTTTTTTGCTAAGCATCCGCATCCTTAGTGTGTCAGCCCTTATTCTAATTAGCAATTAAATGCATGAAGGTAACAGCAGAAGGAATAAACCGTAGTCCATAGTTCACACTCAGGCATCAGTTAAGCCACCCAGGCCTGGGAGGCACAGCACATCAGTGCAGCACAAAACCTGAGTTCCATTAGGAGCAGCCTCAATCCTCTTCACAGAGAAGTGTCACAGCCTCACCCATATATAAAGAAGGAAAATTTGTAGATAAACAGACTGAAGCTTTGTCCTCTGTCCTCTCCACTCCTGTCACAGCTGGATACCCACAAGTTTAGGTATTGCTTCTTAAGAGAAGTAAGCAATAGCAAGTTCTTAGGACAGAAGGGAAAATACCAGTTACATGACAACATAGAATTCCTTAAGGGGGAGGAGGGTGGGGAAACCAACCCCAAACCACAAACATAAAACAGAGAGAGGACATGTGTCATATTAATTTATTAATGTGAAATAACTTTATTGTTTAGCTCAGATTAAAGAAAGCTGCATCAGTCAAGGAGATGTCACTTTTGCTGTTTGCCGAAGGAACTGCAAATCTCAGTGAGCAAAACAAGATGTCTAAATATAAGAACGATGACTTCCTACCAAAATTTATCAGATGCTCTCACAAAGACTTCACTGGAAATCCTTGGCATGGGTCAAACAAAAAAACCAAACCAACCAACCACCCAACTCTAAACCCACCACTGGAATGAAGAACCAAAGAGAAAAAGAAAAACCAAAACATCTGACCTGTCCCTGTTTGGTCCATCTGTGATCTATTTCTAGTTCAAGAATTTGTTCATCCCTGACAAACAACAGCCCTGAGGTAATACATTTCAGTTTAAGCACGTCACTAGAATTTTTCAGAAGGTGTACAAATCAGTAATCAAACTCAAGGAAAAGACTGTATTGTTTCCACCTTGAATGATCATAGTCCAGATGACTGACTTAAACATGCTAACATGGTACAACTTGGCTTGGATACACAGTCTTCTCCTGCAAATTCTTCATAGAGATGTGAACTTGCAACACAAAGAAAATATCAACTGGGGAGAAACTCCTGTCAGCCTTACCCAAACAGAGGAAGCT